TAACCCCGAAAAAACAGGTGTCATATTTACACCCCTACCTCCTCATAACAGCCACCTCTCTACAATGGCCAGTTGCCTCTGTCCCCAAGGTGGCAGTTGTGCAGAGGTTTTTCTCGGCTGGGTTTGAGCATACCCTCAAGTAACGGCACAAAAATGAGTAGGTCAGCACTTAAACACGAGTTGTTTGAATACAACTGCCTGAAATACCGTGGAACCACGCGACTGTCGAAATATGTTCATTTTGCAGTGGCTGGACCATAATTAAAAATTGTAGTCGCGTTCAAGGGGTGGTTTTACTAATTAACAAACTGACATCAGTCATGCGTCTGTCCTGTTATTGACCATGAATTTCGTCATGACATCGTCAAAGTAGCTGTGGATCCGAGGGTAAATAAAGGTTATTGCTGAGGATAAAATAAAGGTTATATCCACGAGACAATAGCTGGGTGGATCTGCAGACTACTTTGACAATGTTAGGACGAAATTCATTGTCAATAACCGGACAGATGCATGAAAAACTACCGTCAATTTGTTTTTTTACGATAACAAATTGTCAAATTGTCTGTTCTCCCTTATTGACACATCGCATAAATTATAAATTCATGTGTCTGTCCCCTTATTGACATTGAAAATTAGTCAATGAGTGCGCGAGAATTTCTGCAGTTATGGTTAGAAGTTGTTTTTAAAATAACATTATGACTGACTGAACCATTTCCTTCTGGCCCAAAAGAGTGCTTGACTCAGCAAGTTGGTCATAAGGCAGGGTTCCATTCTGCAAGTCTCCAAAAGCTAGGAATATAAGATCACTATTGTTTCCAAAACGATATTGCTTTCAGAAACAAACCAAATATAGTGTAGAAAGGCCAAGAACATCTAACATACAACATACCTGAGGAGATAATTCGTTGGTATTTATCTGAAATTCAACAGCCTGTAAATCATGGCCTATACCAACCCCTGTAGCTTTCACATAGCTTTCCTTAAGACACTGAAGAGGAATGCAAAATGTTACAGGCATATGTGAGCAATTATAGCAGTAGGACAGAGTAGAGCAGTTTTCAACTGAGTGTTGTAAAACCAAAACCAAACAGGCTACCCAGCCAATCTCAAACCATAGTAAAACCAAAACTAAAACCAATGTAATTGCCTCATTACTTTCAATACTCATCTATTGAACTTCAAAGTTTACACTTTGTGCAGGGTACTATAGACCCTTTTTATAAGTGGCTGCCAATTTAAAATTCTTTGTATGCATTTAAATTAGCCTCACTAAACTCGTTTGAGAATAAAAATTCTTTTGGATTGTCAACTCAAAAACAAGGTTAGTCAGGCTAATTTTAATACTCACAAAAGAATTTATAATTGGCAGCCATTTAAAGGGTCAATGGTTAGTGGTTTAGTGGACAGCATCCCCTTCCTGAAGTCCTTATGTGACACCTAGTCATGAAAGAGATAGGTGAAGGTGAAGGTGAAGGTGAAGGTGTGAGCCCCTCAAGACATTCCAGTTTAGAACTCTACACTAAGAAAAAAACTTTTAAATTTTCCAACTAGCCCAAATACTCCGAGCTTCACCTGCTGCTTAACTTTGTTAACCCCTGGGTGTAATTTATTGCTATTAACCCCTCCCACCTGCCATTTGTCAAGTGCCGTAATGTAGGTACCCAGTTATTCTCTTGGGTTGGAAGAGGCAGTCTGGGAGAATTCAAAACATCTTGCCTGAAAGCACACAGGGTCACCTGACGGGTGACCCTGTGTGCTTTCAGGCTGTCAGAATCCATGTGGTTACTATTCTGCTGTGCCGCCGCATCTCAAACTTATCCTAAATCACTAATTCATTATAGTATCTAGTTGAAGTAATAGTTTTTTTTTCAATCTTACCCAGTGTCTGTAAAACATCTCAAGTTGTTTCCATTCTGTTGTCTGAGATTTGATTGTCTGCCATTCGTACGAGGTGAACTGTTTGCGCATAGTGTTAAAAAATCCAGGCACTGTTGAGGAACCTATCGCAAAGGTGAGCAAGTGATTTTTGTAAATTGTGAAAAGGTGTTCAACACCATGATACTGAAAGGACACCATAACACAGTGATTACGCTCATGAAAGGGAAATGTACCTGGGTATGTAGTTTTCATCACATCAACACCAACTAAAACATGTAAAAGAAAAATGTTAAGATATATGATATACGTATAGGTAATCATACTGTTTTGAGTTCAATTTGGAATTAATTTGCATGAGTGAGTTTTTCAAAAGGCTGGAATTTCACGAGCCACTTCTGCGAGTGCAATTTCAGCTTTTTGAAAAACTCACAAGTGCAAATTAATTCCAAAAAGAATGAGAAAAACCATATGGTTACTTATTAATGATATAGACATGAAAAAATTCGCATGGAGGAAATGCCAGAAGATCTTTCTTGAAGCCACTTTTTCTCATTTGAGAAAACTTTTTTCAAAGTTTCTGCACACTAGTCCTAATCCAGAATTGCAATGTGTAATTTGCACTGGTGTTACACTTTTTGCACTGCTCTCAGCCAATCAGAACTGAGTAATTTTTTCATGTATATTATTATACCCTGTACAACCACCTTTACCTTATACTATATACTATATTATTAAATATGTAATGGTTGAGTTTCTTGAACATCAAGGAAATTTGCATGTGTTGAATACCCTCTGGTTGGCAAGGATTATTAGCTAGAATCATAGGCACGCAAAGGGCGCAGAAAGCTATTTAGCTGTCAGCATATATACCTTTTTCTTACACTGTGGACCTATGACACTGGCTGATGCATATTTAGGCTACGATTATGGTATTACCTGAATCCAATTCAGTCTTGAATGGCCCTCCCCATTCCCACCCCCTTGGAAGTACATTACTCTTCCTACATCTAAAACCCTCTGTAACTGGCCAGTGAGGTAAATTAAAAATCTTATATCATACCTTGAACTAGAGGCTCTGCAGCTAAGACAGTGAAGTCTCCCTGCAAAAATTGGGAATACATTAAAATAGAAAGAGGCCACTACCCTCAGTTTGGATTGAAAGCTGAAGAGTGAAATCTGGCAAGAGTTGACAAATCCAGGCATTATGATTAGAAACCACCAACTTAAAGTAACAAAGGTCCAGTATGACTTGTAAGTGTTGATCATTTTCATCACTCTGCAAATCACCAAGACCTGACAATGACATAATGTATGCAGTGCAACATCAGATCCTACAGCTGGCATGAGAAGTATAATCATTTGAATACCATCATAAGACAATTTTTATTTTATTTTCTACTTTCAGCGCCAGCATGTAAAGATGCATTTTGATTCCAAACCTGATGTGATATGTTGAAGCTAAAATTTCTCAGTGATGGTTCAAGAGAGTCATTGGCCTGTAGGGATAATGAGAAAGACATTGGCTTGATTTTGCAGCACGTTACTAATCATAATGTGTTTATGTAATGATCGTCAAATTAACAAGTACTAGTTGGTAAGGGTGAAAAATGGTGCAATCTGAGACTCAGTGAGATGTTGAGACCCTCAAATGAAAATTGGACACTGAAACTCCAAGGCAAAAAAAAAAACAAAAAAAAACAATGAGTCTCTGTGTGGATAACTCATCATAAGGAGTCCTAGATTTCAATTATCCTAGAGATATGATTTTCTAGGTAGCACCTCCAATGTTTAAAAGGTAAAGTCTGCATATGTCAGCCAAGTGGTCCATCAGGCAGGAGCTTATCCCGGTTTCTGTAGCACGAAGTGACTAAGAGTATTTCTACTCTCCCCTGGATGGGATGTTAGGCTATTGCAGGGTTACCCCCAGCATTAAGTTTGCCAGTAACCATTTATATACCTGGGTGGAGAGAGGTGCTGTGAGAGTAAAATGTCTTACCCAAGAACACAACACAATGGCCCCTGCTAGGGCTTGAACCCAGACCGCTCGATCCGGAGACAAGCGCACTAACCATGAGGCCACTGCGCCTCCCTAACCCTAACGTTTGGTTACCGGTACCCTTATATGTTGCTCAAAGAACTTCCCTGTCATGTCTCTTTGTACATACTTACCAAGTAAGGCTTTCCTTTTTCAGTTCTTTTCAGAATAACCTCATTGTAAGGAAGCTGTGTGAATTCACTTATCACTTTCCTCATTAACAATCTTCCAATCTGCAGTTAATTTAAGCAAAAAAAGACAACAAGGGCTGTGGATTTTGTCTTTAAACAATCACTACATTTCAGTTCAACATAGAATATTAATATTAATATTATTTTGTATTTTGAGCTTTATTGTCTGCAGTTAGGTATTGGCTTGGGAAAACCAGAATTGGAAGAAAAGTCAGGCTAAACTTTTGTTTGACTTGCAAGACTCCGAGACTCAAATTCCAAAATACAAGATGCCGAGATCTGCTTTATTTTTTACGAGCTTGAGATTCCAAGACTCGAGTTTGAGATGCCAAGATTTCAAGACTCACTGAAAATTTGCCAAGACCCATCATTTTTCAAGGACTATTCTATACAGCCATAATTTCTGAAGTTCTTTTTCTGCTTACCAGAGCAGATTTTGCATCCTTTTTGAACACAAACTTCATGATCCTGTCTTTCTCCTCTGACTGAACACAAGAGATTCCTAGAAGCCATTCCTTGAATTCACAAACAATTCAGAACCTTTAATCATTAATTACACAAATTGCCTGGGTCCAATTATCCACAAAGCAAGGGATGTGAGGTGAAGGAAGGGGATTACAACTGTACTTTGCAAAACAAAATGACATGAAATGACGGTTAATTAAGGATATGAAGTACCATTACTGTCAGATGATTTCTCTGTACTATAACCTAAACCTCATAAAATCTCGGTTTTTTTGTTTTTGTTTTTGTTTTTGTTTTTTTGCAAAATGAGCTCTTTGTATGTTGAAAGTTTTGTTTTGTCCCAGTTTGTCAAAATACCGTAGACCAGGAAAAGTTGAATGAGATTTTGATTCTGGATCAAATAATTTCTAAACTTTTTAGTTGGTTAACTTTTCACTATGGTTAGAAAGAAACATAAGTTTTTTTTTTTTATGGTGATTTTACATCATTAACACTTTGATTAGGACCATTCCATTTAATATCCACCCTCAACCTCTCCCTCCTCCTACTGATGAGGTGTTTTCCCTGACCCTTTCAGAATTTTTTCCTAGAGTTACAGAAAACTGTCATCCATGGAAGGTAAGGGGGTGGGTGGGGTGCATATACCTGTATTGAATGGAATGGCCCTTAATGAAGATGAAGTGTAGCCAAGAATTCCTTTGCGTCTTATTTTATTCCTAATTCAGTGCCATATTGGCCTAAACGAAAAATACTCAAGCTTAATCATTATTATTTTGTTATCAAGCTTATACAGAATGCACATCATGATAGGTGGAGCACGAGAGGGAGTGGAGTTGGCTAAACTGGATGTCCCTTTAATTAATAGCTGGCATTCACGAAGCTGCTCTTAAAAATGGCAAACACAAATTAATCATTATATGCTTTAAAGTTAGTCTAGTGAAGCAGCTAGCGAGAAGCTTAAAGTTTTAAAAGCTTACCTGCCTTGTGGGTTTCCAGGCACCAAATTTGAAAGCTAAACGAACACCCTCCATACGCGCAAAGCGCATTCAGAAACTCCACGAGCACCAGAAGAGCTATGGAAACATTTCACTGGTACACCGAATTACAGACTAGGGACCAAACTTCTTCCTTATTGTCTCACGGAAGTTTCCTAAAATAGTTCCGCATTTCGTTCGCCATATTTCCGCATATTTGGAACTTTCATGTGACGATATATGGAGAGACACAGGCGATGGAAACTACCGCTGAGCGATAAACTGCAGGCGACAAAATCATGGCGGTTAAGAAACATAATTGAGATCAGTACTGAAAAAAAAGCTGCATAGACGTGTAAATTGAAGTTTGTCATGGATCGTTTCAGCTGGACTTCTTCCTCAAATTTATGTGTTTTACCAGGCGAATCCGGTGTTCACCAGCAGTCTGGGATCAGAATGTATGATGGAGACAAAAAGGTAGAGAGTTTAGTTCTGTTTTCACGGTAGCAGAGAATCAGGAAAATGATGAAGTTTTGACACAGTACGTACTGTCGCTGGTTTTGTTCTTGGTTTTGCAAACTGAAACTGTAGTTTCTTTAATATCTTTGTTCAGACAACGTTTGAAAATGGTACTCTAAAGCTCACAACACACAGAATAGTCTGGGATGATTTGGATCAACAGGTAAGGTGCACAAATAGAGAACTCCAAATTAAGCACTTTAAAAATAACGCCCCTCTTGATTCAGTACCACTCTGAAATAGCTAAGAAAACCCTTACCCCTCTCAAAGTCCAAGTCGTACTCTTTACATTTTTGTTATTATAGCCCCATAAGCCAGTTTGGTCCGACATATACTTGTAGATTGTGGCAATTTTGGTCTGATGTGTATACCAGCCCAACCCTCATGAATTTTAAGTGTGAGTCTCATTACTGGAGGACAAAACTTAAATCTCATGCCTATAGATCAATTTCTAATGCTTTGCTGAAATATTTGAGCTGCTACAGCCTTCACTGAGACACCTTGAGAAATAAGTAAACTTGAACAATGAAACAACAGAAAAGTTCATATGACTTCTCTGAAAATCGTCGGTCTCGTTCAGTCATATTTGGGTCACCTTGATTTGAAAATCCTGGCACTCCTAGAATAAAAGTAGGGAGGCAAGTGGTGGGCAATGATGCATTAAGGGTCAAACTGAACCTTTAAGAAGTAGCTCTGCTCACACCACCCTCCCTCCAAGCTACATACAGTTTGTTATTTTATTCATTCAATGTTTGTATATAGGACAGAGCCATATCAGTGTCATTGTCCCTAGTAAGTAAAGTGGAAGAACAATCAGGTGGCTTCATGAGCAGGTTTGTGACATTTACATGAAAAGTGTAAAGTGTATTTGATGATCACTACCCAGGATAGTAATTGTTCTTGAGGTGTGAAAAAGCTAATAGGCTGGTAACTCATCTTAAATAGCCATTTGATCAACAATTTTCCTCCACCTATGTATACTGTACTTTTCCTAACCATTTCTAGCATCCTGCTCTTTGGTCCAGACACATTAACCACCCAAAGCCAATGTGACACACCCCCTTCCCTTCCCTCCTTTATAAGCAAAAAAAAAAAAATTACAACTCAAAGGAGGTCTGAAATTGACAATTTTAAATCCACAGAAAACCTTCCCTTCTTCCCGGTGTGTTTGTTTAAAGTACATGTAATGGCTATGCACCTATCATTGTTAAGCACAAGGGTGGGGGGTGAGCAGGCTACCCATGGCAAATTAACTCACCGAGCCTTCCTGTGGGTAGGGACTTTGACACTTAGGTGTTTCCCCAGGGTCAGGAATTTGACATTGCCGCCATCTTCGAAGATGGAGAGAACCTGGAAATGGGTCTCTACTATGGGTGTGAAATCTGCACAAGAGAAGATCCAGATGGTGGCCAAAAACATTCCTTGGATCCAACATGACACATGTTCGATGTGGTATCCCCAAACTTGTGCAAAAGAATCTTGGCCACCATCACTCTGCCTCGCAGATGATGTCACCTTCCTAGGTGAGACTGTGGTTCATGTATTACCATTAATAAACACTATTTGAAAGCTATTTAATAAAGCTTCATCAATTATTAAGGTCTGTCTCTGACAGAAATAAGTCACCATGGGGGCGTGAATTTGAGATTAACTTGGTGCCCAGAGGTGGGGAATTTGACTCTGGCTTCCTTGAAAATGTCAAATTATCCTAGGTCTGCATGCCCCCNCCCCCCCCCCATTCCCCACAACCCTAGGGCTTAACATTTATAGGTGCACTATCTTTGAATGATTGCATTATTTTTTTGAACTCAAGAAATGAATTGCACACGGAGATGGGATCTGTTCTGATTTAAGTTGTTTTTGCTGATGCCTATTCTTTGATGATTTTTTCGCTGCAGTGCAAAAGTGATTGTAAACTTCCACCCACCTCCAGCAAACAAAGAACCTGGTCCATGTGTCTCCAGTCCGTATGCTTGTGTCAAGTTTTCTTTTAAACAAGGAGGACATTCAGAGGTAAAGACAAGTTAGTTAAGGTATTTCTTCAAGGTTTAAAGAAGATTTTTTTTCTTGGTGAAGTTATAGACATTGTAAAACTACAATTTTATAAATTTTTTATTCTTATCCATTCTCATAACACTCACTGGCTATCTTTTGTGTTCTGTTTGTAGTTTTTTGCTCGGTTGGTTGAGCAGATTAACAAGAAATCATGGGTGCAACAACATACCCAGTCAACCTCCAGTGGCACAGCAGGAAAGCAACTGGTAGATAGGATCTCTGACAAAAACTTCAGACCATCTTTGTTTGACATGACAAAAATGTGCCTTTTTCAGACTGTTATAAGCACATAACAATGATGTTGGCTTTTTCTGATCAGGAGTTCTGGAAAAAAATATTTCATAAACAGTAATTATTATATGGCTTGTGTTTGTAGGCGATATAATGCATGCTCTGATTGGCTAACTCTAAGGCATTACATGCATTCTCCCATAATGCCCATAGGCTGATTAGGGGCCTGCAAAGACAAAGCAAAAAGCCATATAATAAACAACTTATTGACCTTGAACGTTCAATCTCTATGGCAAAATCTCCAACCTCTCTGCCTTGCTGCTTTGACCTCACTATCGCTTTGTTAATACGGCAAGGTCCTTCACGGAGATTCTCCTGTAAAGAACTCACCCTTGGTCATAAGCAGTTAGCAGTAATTATTATCAGATTAATTATGAATATTTAATCCCTCTTTTAGGGTCAGCCCAGAGGAATTGGAGGAATAGTAGGAATTGAGAGAAAACTAGAACAGAAATCTAAAGAGACTGATGACTATATTCAAAAGGTGAAAAATACTGAGGTTCATTTGACTGACTGGGTAGGAATGCCACACAGATGGGAAAATATTTCACATCGTGTATGAGAGCTATCAAAGCCCACACTTACTAGTATGTCTCGGTAGCTTGTGCTTTCAAGGTTGGTCCAATAGCTTATTTGTAAATGCTAAAGTGTTTAATATTTTCCATTATTTCTGATGTTAGGCATTTAAAGATTTAGATGCTCTTATGGAGAAGGTATGAACAAAATATTTATAACAATTTTGTTAATTCTGCAAATTTTAAACCATTCTATGGTCTGTGAATCCATCTCATTTATTAAATAATAATTGCTTGGCTGCAACACTTCGGAATCATTCACTTACGATCTCTTAGGAGACATCACTTTTCCCTGGGTAACATTTAGGAGAGCAGGGATGATACAGTGGTTAGAGCATTCTCCTCCCACCAATAAGGCCCGGGCTAAAATCCTGGACCTGGCGTCATATGTGGGTTGAGTTTGTTGTTGGTTTTCATCCTTCAAGATCCAAAGGTTTTTCTCCGGGTTTTCTGGTTTTCCTCCCTCCACAAAAACCATCACTTCCCAAATTCCAATTCGAACCAGAAAAACTGGAGTGGATGAAAAGCCACTCTATGGCTGTGTCTCTGGTAATTCCCATTTGTTTTATTTTATTTAATATTTATTCTGCTCTTTAATTCAGAGAGTCGTTCCCACTTGCCAGTGGGTGTAGTTCAGGATGGTTCAACTTACAGCTTGCTTTTCTTTTCTAAATTTTGCCAGGCAAAAGAAATGGTCGCCATCGCTGATAAAGTGGCCTCCAAGCTGGAGGAGAAAAAAGGTTCAATTACTGAGGATGAGGTAAATAACTATTCTTATGCAGTTAATGCCCAGTTTCTGCATCAACGCATCAACCAGCTTGGTCACTTGATCCAATTGTTATATGTGGTCGCCAACACAATACTATTGGTGAAAATATTTGGGATGGTTCCTTCCCAAGAAGAATGCCTTTTGGGGATGGGGGGTCAGGGCTCCTTTACTGAACAGTGCTTTGTAATTGAGACTACCTTCCACAGAGATAATACAGTGTAGTTGTCAGCTATAAAGTGAAGTGTTCGTTTGAAATCATATACTGTAGTTTTTTAAAAAAAAAACTGGAGGTAGGACCTAGTTTATCCACAAGGCACACACAATCTTGTTGAGTAAGATGGGAGTGATTAAAGGAATGTAAAGAATGAATAGTTTACCTTTGTCTCAACTTGTTATCTCTTACGTGCACTTTCAGCTAAAACCACGTTCTGCAAAACACTATAACGCGGAACTCGTACCTGGGCCTATTCACGCTGTGCCAAAATGTTCTGGCTTTTACATATAAATAGATGTTAATTGACAAGTCAATTAAAGTTAGTGGCTCTGTAGAGCTATGTCATTCATCAGGATTGAAATCTTCAGACGTCTCTGAAGTGGCTAAAGACTACTCCATTTCCGAGTTACCTTGTGCCTCTGTTTCAAAACGAGTTCGATTTACATGAAAATGAACTTCTAGGCGGAGCACATTTTCATATGAATGGGTTTGCACGAAGACTCGTTTTGACACAGAGGCAAAAGGCAACTCGGAAGTGGCCTATTGAATGCATAAAAACAGACGAAAAAGTACCTTTTGTGCACTATTCGCGTTTCAATAATTTGAGTGTTTGTGTCACATTTCAGACAGTTACATTCAAGTCATACCTTCTAAGTATGGGAATAGCTAATCCTGTGACAAGGTAATTAAATGTTAGTAGTGAATTCGTGAATATAGTGAATATTAACTGAAAAACATTGGGTCATTTTTACTCTGGCACTTCAAGAAAACAAAGGAATAAACAGGGCAACATTCAGGTCCCTGCCACACTACGCCGGAAGAATTTGAAAACGCAGCTTTATTTCTACGGTTGGGCGTACCGTCCACACTAATCCGTCACGAAAACGGAGCTTTTCGAAAACACTCTTCAAACCGGAGAAATGTGAAAACGCCGGCTTTTCGTTTCCGTGTGGAGATAAAGCATTTGAAAATGGAGTTTTCTGATAACGATGACCTCACGATAATAAAGCAATTTCCCCGACCGAGGTTTTTTCAGGCAGAAATCCAAAATGTCTTAGTTTCTCCGGCATAGTGTGGACGGAAAACATTTGATGCGTTTTGAGAGTGAAACCTCCGTTTTCAAATTCCTCCGGGGTAGTGTGGACCCGGCCTCAAGCCTAGTCTTCCTTTCTATGGCTGAGAATGTACTTTTTGTTGTTTCAGGGAGACACACGGATCGGGCGCGAGTTACCATAAAGAACTAGCTAAAGAACTGGGGACATTCTTACAAAAGATCATCATGGTAAGATTACTAGGCTTCGTTACTTGCAATAAGATGATTTTAAAACACCAAGTTCTAAGGAAAAACGTTGTTAGTGATTATTAGCTCTGATTCTACGAGTAAGTAAGAATGCCGTGCAATTATTTTCAGGTTTTATCTTTTTCATTGTCATTCAATGATTGTTTATGAAATTCGTTACAACGTGGTATCAATTAAGAAACACTCAAACAGACTCTGACAAGAAGATAAAGATAAAGAGACAGTTATATATATGTGTGTAAGGTCTGCGAGGGAACCTCGCTCAAAATGCGGAGCCCTACACATCCAGGACTCAATTGTAAAGCCAACGCGAAACTTCAGTTGAATTCATGAAGGCAGAGGGTCGGATACTCGTGAAAATAACCTGAAAATGACCAACAGCATACATGTTTTACCGGTTGCTGCAATGTTGTGTAGCAGAAGTGAACATAGACCTTTAAGGAATGGTCCGAAACTAAGGACGCTACATAGACTTTTTTATTTGATTTTTTTTATCAAGGATGAGGGAGGCATGATGACCTTGACTGATGTGTACTGTAGGTTCAACAGGGCCAGAGGAATGGAGGTTTGCATTTTGTCAGTTTCTATGGATTTTTCTCCCTCATCAAGAAAATCATTCGACATAACACAAACGGTGTATAAACATTCCAGTTTTTTTGTGTGGTTCTCTCTTTCTCACGTCTTTGGTTCACGTTATGCTTACTTTGGGAAGTTTTTTTCTATTTTTTTTTTTTTTTTTTTAATTTGAGAAACGTTATCAAGTTTTTGTCAATGGTATAGGCCCCATTATAGAAGGGCGGCCTGAGTATCCCATAGAGCGGTTTTAATTTGAATGTCGAAAAGTAATTGGTTTTGCGCTTGCTACGCTACGCGATTGGTTTAAAAAACTCGCGCCACTTTTTCATCCAATCAGAAGTAAAACCAAAACCAATCGTGACTAACTTGGAGTTTTGATTGGTTCACTGTATTGTCTGTGTCCTTTGTGATTGGCTAGAGTGATTACTCTGGTTTTGGTTTTACGGCACTCAATTGAAAACCACTGTATCCTGTTAATTCCGATTGTAAACCTTAACAATTTCCCTACTCGATATCCCGTTTTATCTGATCTTAATATAGCATATCCCACCAATTCTCCCCCGCCCTCAATATCCTGTATCCGGTTGTTTTTTAACCTAAATATCCCGTATACCGAAAATCCCTAATAGGGCTGACCCTCATCGAAATATTGTCTCTCTCCAGCTGGTCTCTCCTGACGATCTAGTAAATGCGGCCAAAATGTTTTCATCTGTGAATATGCCACTAAAGTAAGTTTAATGCACTATTGACCGACTTGTGAATATAACTCTTCGCTTTTCACAATTATGACCAATGTTTATGTTCACCTTTCTATCAGTGATCTGGCGGCGGTTTGTCCTACTCACACCTCTGGCGTGCCGCCTTCGAGACCGTCCCCTTCCGTCAGGGCGTCAAGCAGTTTCTCCCAAGAACGGGCGGTGCGCTTTGCCCAGTGGCCAGCCTTTCAGCTTACCTCCATCACCGCAGGATTTCTTCCAGCGCGCTGTTCACGGGGATAACTTTGATTACTTCTTTGAATTTTTAAACTGGAGGGTAAAATTAAGGATTGCTTGAACGTTTAACAATCCCCCGGGGGAGTGGGGAGGAGGTGGTTGAACCTTCCAGAGTCACCGATTTCTCCAGAGCCATCTGATTTCTTGTCGTCTCAGTCAGTGGTCGTATAAGGAATGTTACCAAATTACTATAAGTTAAACTTCACATATTATCAAATACTTCTGGTTAGTGATCACCTTGGGTTTCCAAACCTATGGTCGCTTACTGGAGGTTTCATTGTAATGTATTAATTAATGTTTACCACTGAAGCTTATGATGTGTCGTAGAATGTTGTCTTTACACGTTTTTGTTTACGTTGCATTGTAGATTACGAGCTTTTGACAGTGGGGTCTTGGTTATTCAATCCTTGTCTCACAGTGACGAAGAGGTAATACGGACAACTAAGCAAATTGTAAGTATGTCCACACCATTTTTTCCACTTGTGACTGTCGTCCTTCTATACATATAAAAAAAAGTTCAAATAACTTTTAAACCTTGCAATCACTGAACATAACGTCGCGCTAAATAGGCAAGTCCGAGCTTCAGTGCTGGTGAATAAGTCGATGAAGGAGGACACACGAAGCCGCAAATTTAAAATAATTAGTTACTAAAATGACGAAATGGTGGCCTCTGATTTTATCAGCGATCTGAAATTAATAAAATACATTTCCACTTGTAGCGACACCCGAGTGTTTTAGACTTGAAATGGAACAAGTAACGTTGAACGTTTACTTTAGTGCCACTAAACAGTCTTTTTCACATAATTTGACGACTTTTTGATGGGTTTTCTGTGGATTAACCAATCACATTAGGCTTGTCGACTCCACTCACACTTTTCCGAGATGTTGATTGGTCGAATCAAAAGAAACCCGTCAAAAATCAGGTACAGCAGTACCGCGTGCGTCGTTTTTAACATGAGGCCAAGAAACGCCTTGCACTAGGCCTGAGGAATTTTGAAAGGGAGGTTTCACTCTGAAAACGCATCAAATGTTTTCCGTCCACGCTAGGCCGCGGGAATTTAAAAACGCAACAGCCACCGGTCATTTTAATTTTGTTTTGTGTTTGGAAAAACCTCAAGCGGAGAAATCACATGATTATCGAGAAATCATCGTTTGAAAAAGCTCCGTTTTCATGTTTTCTGTCCACACGAAAACGAAAAGCCGTTGTTTTCAATTTCCTCCGGTTTGAACAGTGTTTTCGAAAAGCTCCGTTTTCGTGACGGATTAGTGTGAACGGTAGGCCTAACCGTAGAAATAAAGCTGCGTTTTCAAATTCCTCTGGCGTAGTGTTTTTTAATCAACGGAGCCGGATGGTGAACAGAGATTTGTGAATAGTGTAGTGTTAATCTATCGAAAGAATCAGGCCGTGATATTTGCTATCAGTCTAATGAAAAACGCTTTTACCTGTTTTCCTTTTAGCTTGATGAAAAGTCGTCATTAACAGCAGAAGAACTGGCTCACCTGGCCAAAGTCTCTGTCATGTTGGCTAAAGAACGGTAATGTTGGATACTTCTTCCTTGTCTGTGAGCTTCTGTGCTCAATTTTAGTGAAATCTTATGATTCCATATTGCTGTAACAGAACCTTGGGCTCAGGCAACATGTTATTTGTAACGTATTCAAACCACGTCGAGATCGGATCTTGTTCAATCCCCTCCCCCTCAATTTTTTGCCACTTGAATATTTTTCCTAGGTTAGTTATGACTTATTTATGCTACTATTAGAGCGGTTTTCAACTGAGTGTCGTAAAACCAAAACCAAACCAATTACTTATCAATAAGACTACTCAGCCGATCTCAAATCGTAGTAAAACCCAAACCAAAGTAATTGTCTAAGTACTTTTGACACTCAATTGAAAACCGCTCTAATTAATGATGTAACAACAGGTTGCTATTTTTGACAGGCTCCTGGTCACAGAACAAGCTGGCAAAGCATGCCGGGATGACAGCGTCGAAGGTCTCCGATTCTATCCCAATTTGTTCCTTGAAAGAACTGAGTGAAGACCACCGTAAGATCGTGGGAGTTTATTAAACTAAGACTAAAGCTTTTCTGTAAAGGTTTCATGAGTGTAGGCAGTTGGCTTAGACCTGAAATGTTTGTCATCATCAAAGTCCTGGGATCTGCGGCGAGGGAAGGGGGAGGGAGACGCCAAACTTTTCGGACTAGTTCATACCTGTAGTGTTTTCCTTCAGCTGCAGTAAAAACGGCATTATCAGTTTTGCCATACGTGCTACAGCCAGCGTCTTGACAAGGCCCAAGAACACCAGGCTAGGACACAGAAGCCGCTAACGCCCTGTGTTTCCAATGCGGACGAAGGCGCTACAGTTAAGCAATGTATAATAAATTTGTTCTTGTACGAGGACCACTTGTTTGTCAGTCCCTTGGAAAACATACGACAAAAGCCTCTCAGCACTCAAGGAAAAGCGAGACAAATAACTAAAGTCATGAGAATGGGACAACTATTCACGCCTGAAGGGAGGCGCAAAAGAATATCCTTTTTAATTAAAAAATTCTCATAATAAATGTGCAAAAAGTTCTTCAATAAAAGTGATAATTCGCAGTTTTGTTACAACTCACAGTACTTTAAAAAAAAAACATTATGAAAACCACTTAGAAAAACTATATTTATAAATTATAAAAATTTCTTTTAAGTTGATACATTCTGTGACGAAACATATCGAACTATACCTAGCTAAATATCTTTTAATAAATGAGGAAAGTTTTAAGTTTCTAAACTGTTGGGACGCGTTAGTGGGCAAGTAAAACAATAAGCTCAAGGTAAATTTATCGCGAGTTTGTAAAGCTGACTTCAAGATGATAAATAGCTAAGCTTTGGGTTGATGTCAAAAAGCCTTTCCTTTCTTTTGGCTTGGTGTAGAGGTGTAGTCTGTGTGAAATGCGCGAGGAGTGCCTCTCAAACTGCCGTTCTTTTTGAAGACTTGTTAAAGGGAATCTTAGCTAAAAAACAGTTTTGTTCCAAATCGTTTGTGTTTAACTGTTTCTGTGATTTGAATTCGATATTTCTTTGCCTGTTTTCATGCTGGGCGTTTCGCTTCTGCTATTTTAGGATTCTAGATTTCCCGCGCGCCGCCGTGTTATATTAATTTTTGCAAAGCTTGATGGGAAATAACTGTGACGGCTTTCCGCGGTAGGACGTTTTTAAAATGCAACATTACGCGAATGTACAGATGTTAAAAAGGCTTCAAATCTGTTATGACTTATATTCGAGATGAACATGTACAGGTCCAACAAGAAATCTTCCTCTGTAGATTACATATTGAGATCTCTGACCAGGCAATGACGTCAAAATTACCATAAAATAAACATGGAGAGGCCCAGGTGGCCAAAGACTTCGTATTCGAACTGCTTACAGAAACATTAACTTACAACCCCAGGATCAGAACCATCAGGTATACTTTTGAGCTTAAACTGCTTCTCAGCCAAGATTCCCTGTTAAGTTTCCATCTCGATACTATTTTCAGAGTTTAGTGCCAGAAAATAAAATGCTGAGCCACAATAAACCAAGCTGCCGAAGAATGGAACAGACTTTTTTCAGGGCCAAAGCGTCTATCTACAACCTAATGTATGCTAAGAACCCTGGATTTTCTATATGCAAATTCATAAACTTACGATCCAGTTCAGAATTATAAAATATCCTACAAGTATACACGAGGGGTCTCTCTCCAGCGCGATGGTGCTGTAGAGGTCGAAAGCTCCTCGGCAAACCTCGGCCAGTTCTCGGAAGCCTTCGGATTCCTTTATCATTCTCGTAATTCCTCTGTGTTTTCACCCTAAGACTTTAACTCTTTCATCAGAATCATCGCTCAATATGGCCCTTAACTTTGAGACAGAGCTCATTTAATTTGTCTTCTGGAAAATAACTGGTAGGACCTTGCGACATGTCTATATAAAGCAGCTTGGCAAAAATCAAAGCCAGTTGTCCTGCGGGTGGCCAGTCAAGAAACTCGAACAATAAGGGAATAATGGGTTTTCTCAGCGCGTCTGCTAGCGTGACTTCTCTATGGCACATTTCGGATTTGCAGTAACGCTTTGTCACACAACATATCACCACCTGGAAAGAAATGATGACATATGTAGTCAGAAACGTTACGTGACGATCTTTATAAAGGCTTCAAAAGAGACTGGCAAGTAGAAACCTGGGAGGTACTCCCTTATATGGCTGTATAGGTATGTGCGGCTCCAAAGGATATGGAATTTCTGGCCGTTTTAGTCAGATAGGGTATCGATTTTGGCCATTTTAGTCTCAAATAGGGCCGGTATTGTTTTTGCACTCTTGTCTTGATTCCGGGTTTTCTTTTAGAAGCTACTTTTTCATCATTATCGATAAGACTATCAACAAAAGCCCTTCACAATGCCTTCAACATCAGGCTGAGTTAGGGAACTAACTATAAGACAGGTCTGAAACAGGGTAGATAGGGTATCGAATTCTATATCAGGCCATGAATAGGGTAGGGAAAATCACAGATTTTGGTCTTAAATAGGGTAAGGGTTTTGTGAAGCGGGCCACAAACCTCCACCTGATTTTTCTGGGAGTACCCCCCCCGCTCCCCCTCTCTACGGGCTAGAAACAGGAGGGAGAAGACATTTATAACGATCCACCTTTGAGGCTCTGATCCCGGCGTCGATCTCCGCAAACAAAGAATCTCCTCCGCCCATTTGACCGATATCCATCCAGCACTGGAACCCAGACTCCTCAAGCTTGTTCTTCAGTAGTTTGACAGCGTCCTGAAGATCCCATTGATACGAGATAAACACTTCGGGGCGGACGTCAAGCACTGAAGGGCCAGCGCTATCAGTGTTGTCTACTAAAAATAAACAGATGTACGAGGGATTTAACGAAACAAAAAATGCGTTTACATATTCTTGTAGCTTATACTGCCGGAACCAGAGTTCGAAATGAAGATGATCCTTCCTAAAGAGGGTCGTCGTTCTTGGTAGCGATAGCTCCCCGGTCCCACTTCCCTACATCAACCACCGTCTGCAGTCTTGATATTACCAGGTTCCTAGTTCTATATTTCGCCGGGGTAAATCTCTTTCGCCGTCCGTTTCGGCCGTTCGTCTTGGATACGAATCAACCGCAAAGTTAGACTAGTCATGATACCGAAATGACAAAAAAGTTCATGAAAAGTTAAAAGAAAGAGAACATTCGATTGACTTCTTTCCAGCATTTTGCTCCCTTGTGGTGTCAATAAGTTCAGTCCTTGTTAAGCTGCGAAAAGACGATGCATAACGATAATAATAAGAAATTCTACTAACCTTCACTTGTTTTCTGTACATCTGGGAGACCACTCAACTCGTCAGTCTGAAAAAAAATGTTTTGTTCATAGGTAATTTTTTTTCTTCACGTAATACCAGAAAATGAACCGGCAACGAACCGTACCGTGAAACGCTGTATGGCAGTTACTCGAGGAAGCGTAATTCTTTAATCTTTTTGTCAATTTTCTTAAGTTCTACACCTATCAAAAAGTCGCAACAGCTCGTGAATTTGTCGCAACCGGCTTCTTTCAATTGACTTACCCGAAAATTCTTACGTTCGCCGTGTTGATTGGCGGAAATTGCTATGTATACCCAGCAGTCTCACGTGCGAAAATAGCCAAAAGAGGTCCGCAGAAGACAGTAACGAAATCACTGTGTGAAGCGAGTAAAATCACCGGGGTGTCGCTGGCGTAAAACGGTGGGAAACCCATCATAAGAATATAAAACAATAAAAAAATACACTTTTAATCAGAAACGGTTTGGGCATTTTACTTTTGAACAAAATGCCGCTACCAATTGCTTAGCTTTTCTTTGCCAATCAAGGCAGCTAAAAAGAAGAGGAAAAAAGAATCAACATCTGATAAAACGCAGTGAGGAATAGTCTCTTTTTTTAAGCCAAAGGATCTCATGGCTGAGGCTTCAAAAATTCTAAATTACCTTGCTTGTCGAGCCGCGCCACTCGTCTAAACCAGGAACATCCAGACGTGAGCGGGCGCCGAATGTCTTCGTACAAATCAATTTTCCGTCGTTTGAAATCGGAAGGAAGTGGATGCAGTCACTTTGTGCGCAGGATTGTGTCTTGTGCTTTGCGCCAGCTTTGGCTGAACACGATGGACAAGCCACACACAACTCGTAATACATGTTACGAAGGCATGCAAAGTCACGTGATAAACTACTCAAGATCGATTCCAGGCGCTCGCGGACCAGCGCGGCCACACCATTTCCATTGTCAGACTCTTTCGTTTGGAGAACGACTTCGACAAACGACTGCTTGCAAATGAGAAACAAGTCAGTCTGGCCCAATATAAACCTAGCAAGGTTTTGAAACAAGTTCGGTTCGTCCTTGCATCCCAGCTCCGTGCACCCAGCGATGAAGCGAGACACAAGCTGAGGAAAAAGCCCGTGTGGAAGAAAGCCATCGGGAAAGTAGATATAGAGCGAGCAAATGCCGGTGAAAGACGTGTCTAGATCAATCTCTGGACATGAGCACAGCTGAGCTGGTACAAAATACTTCACAGCCGGTGAATCCTTGTCGGTGCTTTCTGGCGTGAATCTTGCGATCAGACCGTACATTTCCATCATAGAGAGAATGTCGCTCTGTGATTGGCCATCACACAAGAACTCATTAAACACGTGATCTACCAAGCGCATGCTCAGAAGGCCAGTTTGCTCCAGCTCGTTCCAGGCTGCGGCATGACGCGGATTCTTGAGAAAAGAAAGAAAAATAACACATTACTCTAGAGAAAAAACGGTCAAACAGACGTCGTTGTATGGCTGTAATTTTTCCTACAGCGCACGTTCTCATTGGCTACTTCGAGTTCACATGACATCTTCAGATTATGACGTTTCCCGCCAAAAGTCTCTGAGTGAGCAACCTTGCCAAATCTATGACGTCAGACAGTAACAATGACCGACGACCACCATTACAAGTGTATCTACTATTAGGGAGCTTAAGCCACGACGCCTATTCAAAACTGAATTTATATTTTACCAGCGACATTTGCAGTTAGAGAGTTAAAGCAACGACGACCCCGAGGACAACGCCTTGTAAAAAAAGAATTTATATTTTATATTCGAACTTTGCAATTGTCTAGATCTGTTCAGTGCGCCAATGGCTCTTAAAACGTGCTCACTGAAGCTAACTATGCAATGACAGCGTTCAATTCCAAATGGAAATACGAAAAATTAGCCGTCGTCGTTCGCTTTCCTCAGACTACGCAGGAACTTTGTCATTTCACGTTCTTGTTTGGAGAGGACGGCAAAGAAATAAACAGAGATTTATAAGGCACGTGCACAGCTACTGTTTTGCTTATCAAAACTTTTGTTTCGTGACGTTCTCGTTGCCGTCATCGTCGTGGTTTGCTTAAGCTCCCTATTGTCTAGAGCGACTCCGCCTCGGGAAAAATCGAGATTCTCGGGAAACAAACTGTTTTCCTCGGGCTTCAGTCAATTGATTCAAAATACAAGCACGATGTCATACCTGCTCGTCAAAAGGTCTTATAGTGATAAGCTTCCTAAACAAATGAATCAGCCACTGTGTTTGAAGCACCACCGTGTCACCATGCCAAATGATGATTCCCAGGTCGTGATAAAAATCCAACATGGCCACCATTTCCAGCTCGTCCTCGATAAAGCACATCTTACGTACAACGTTGTACAGCTGAGAAACCTTCAGGTAAAACGTCTTCTGTTGAACTAAGGCTTCGACGACCCTCTCAAAGTTGAACCAGCGGACAGGGACATCCTCTCCCATGTAGGGCTCTAAACGCAATACCTGGGCCAAAGAAGGATAGGTAAGCAGTTTTACGGTATATCGATAGAAGCTTCTGGTTTGGCGCTCACAGAAAAAATGAGTGACGTTCCTTTTTAAGTTAAAGGCAAAAAGATAAAGTCTGCACACAAGCCAGGGGGCTCATCAGGCTGGTCCTAATCTTCGGTTTCTGTAGCATGAAGTGACCAGGAGTATTTCTACTCCCCCCTGGATGGGATGCTAGTCCATCGCAGGGTTACCCCCAGCATTAAATTCCCCGGTACCCATTTATACACGTGGGTGGAGAGAGGCACTGTGAGAGGAAAGTGTCTTGCCCAAGAACACAACGTCCCCGGCCAAGGCTCGAACACGGATCACTCAATCCGGAGTCGAGCGCACTAACCATGAGGATACCGCGCCTCCCACTTCTTTTCTTTTTAATGCCAAGGCGAAAAATGCAAGTTTACAGTTTTGTATTGTTTGATCCTAAAAATAAGAATAAGGCCTCTTATTATTTAAATGCACTTGGTTGGAAAAGCAAAGTTAACCCGTATTTACCTCTCTTATTTCCTGCCGAACTTTCTTAACGCCCTCATCCTCTCCAGCACGGGTATTATCTACCCGGAAAAAAGGCCGTCGTACGTGTTGCTCGTACGTCCTCCCAGAGAGGCTCTTTTTGATCTGGGTCTCCATTCGCTTAGGGTCCTCAAACGGGGTGTCCACATGGGTACCTACTATGATTACCGGTGGTCTTAAATACGGCTGCTCTTCTTCATGTCCCTTCTCTTTGGCTCTGAGCTCGGCACTCAGGTTATGCACAGAAACGAGCCATGACAGGATGCTGTCCAAGTTCGTTTCGTCTCCGCTGGAGTGAGGGATAAAGTCGTGCACACCTTGACGAACACAAGGCTCCATTTTAGCGTTCAGCTCCTTGCTCATGTTGTAAACGAGCACGTAAATTGCCCGAGGGGACAAAAACACGGGGTGTGATGCGTAGTACAGATGTTGGCCCGCGAAGTCCCATATGGTGACCACAGTCTCTCTGTCGCTGACCTGCTGTTCACCAGCTTGGCTCTGTAAGTACTTAGCCACGAGAGATTTCACGTCTTCTGGCACGGCTCCTGAAGTGTCCATTTCGATGTGAATGAATTCTGGATCTATTGGCAAATCAGCGATTTCTTCGGCTGCCTGCGGGAGGTCTGGAGAGGGGTCGGAGATGTTCTCCATTGACACATCTGCAGGTTTCACCTAAATGAAGGACGTAAATGAAAATGTAAGCAGGTACAGGAATAAAACCACCTTTCGTCTGATAAAAAAGGAGCTTTGTGAACGACTGGCTTAACGCGCTGACCTGTCTTCAAATCCACATGTCCTGCATTCAAGTGCTTTACCCTACCAACAGCCAGAAATTTTAGCAGCCTCTTCGGCCACACTATGTAAACAGATAACCTGTTGGCTCCTCTCTAGTTGGTATTCTATGTTTGCTTAGTTTGTTTGAAATATTTATTATACACGGCACAACAGGTAACAAGCGGCTTTAAATGCAAGCCATGAACAAATGCACCACCGTTTCCTTTAACTTCCCTTTTAAATTAAGAGCTCCAGACTTCAAGTAGAAACAGTTAATTCGAATGAGTTGGTTTAACAATGAAGACAACTCATTTCTTATAGCTGTACATTGAAGATAACTCATGCCTTACATTGAAGACAACTCATTTCTTCGCTTTGGGAACCAACTTTTTACAGTTAAGCCGGACTAAATTAATTTTAATTCGTCACGGATAGTTTACAAAGGGCGTTTTGCAATCTGTTTGATCTTCTCAAATCTTACTCATCCACGACTTGCTTGTACGCGTCTCAAACATCTAACATCAAACCTTTGCCAAGCCATCATAGCATTCTCCACAGACTAACCACCCTTACCTGGCAAGCCTGTGGTCTTGACGCACCCTGTGTGACGTCACTCTGCGCAGTCTCGGTTTCCACGCTGGTTTCTGGCTTCTGTTCCTCGTCACCGGAGCGCAACTCTCCCACCACAAGTCTGGCGATATCATCCGCGAACTCAGAAGTAAACTTCTCGTTCTTCACAAGCTGCCAGTTCATCACACGATCAACATCCAACTCAAATCTCGACGGATCCACCTCTATCCCCTCAGTACTAGGTTCGCCAGGATCGAACGTCATTCCAAGAAGCGACTTCTTTAAACTTGTTTTACCGGCTCTGTTCTGGCCGATCAGCATGACGCGCCCGCGATACACCCTGACCTTGCCCTTTTTGAGTGCGCGTTGAAATGCACGCTCAGCCTCGATTCCACGCGCCTGGATCTCGGGCGGAACTGAAGAATAAAACAATCACGAGAAACGAATATATGGATGTCATTTTTAATTAACGAGAGGTTCCTTTTTTCGCAAGTTTAGACCGAGCCGCAAGCGAGGTTTTTGTAAACGCGCAAAGTAAAGAATGAGACCTATATTCTTCAATAACTACCGAGCAGGCCAGTTAAATTATTATCTTTGATTTAATTTAACAAATAATAAAAATGATCTAGAAGCGATGTAAACTCGAGTTCTGTTCTGCCTATGAACCGTATTACCACAATAAGCCTGTAATTTGCAACTTCCAAATTCTCTTTTTTTATTTTTATTGCCATTTCAAGTGGACGGGTGATGAGAATAAAGGAATTCACCTAAATCATGCTTGAATTAAATATATTTACAAGCCCACCTGAAGAATCTTCCTCATCCTCTGTCTCTGGTAAAGTACAAGCTGCTTCGGCTTCCACATCTTCACTCTGTGCCTCCCACTTAACATCTTCAGCACCTAAACAAATCAGTTCAAATCAACATAGCTGGTGAAAAAACACATGTCTCTTTGGGTACTGGTTTTTGCACACCCAACAAAATCCAAAATAAGACCTGTGTAGTGTTGTAGAAATTTTCCTGTCGAATCTAAGAATTCACTTTCCCTTGTTTCGAAACTTGCGCCCAAAAAGACACTTCTGTTTACTCAAGACTGCCTGACTAAATACAACAATATGGCCGACTGAACTCGCACACGTGGAGCGGTTTTTACTTGAGTGCCGAAAAGCCATTGGTTTTGGATAACTACGCTATGCTATTGGCTCGAAAAACTCGCACCACTTTTTCATCCAATCAAAAGTAAGACAGAAACCAATCGTGACTCACTCGCACAGGTTTTCCCGCGCTTTGCGTCACATGCATTTTGTTTGAGTTTTGATTGGTTCAGTGGATTGCATATGTCCCTCGTGATTGGCTAGAGTGATTATTTTGGTTTTGGTTTTAAGGGCCCATTAACTGATTCATGCGTGCGCTCGCGCGCGTTGCTAAGGAGGTGAAATTTCACTTCCGGTTACTTACGTCAGCCTGAGCGCGGAAAATAAAAACAACTCAATAACTTCCAAATTCGCTTACATTTTAGATGTTTTTCTTTGTTTCACAAAATGCAAAGTAAAACAAGTACAAGCAGAGGCAAAATAAGAAAAAGACAGAACAACAAGAGCCATAGAAAGAGAAAACTAACTCCGTGTGGCTTTGTTTGATCTTACCAAAGTGCACTGGTAGTGTAAATTGCGCACGCGCTGATAGGGTAACTTCCATTGTATATCGGGCGCACTCCCGGTTTCTTTAAATGCTAAAGGAAACGCGGTTTTTCATTAAATCCAGCCTTTTTCGACGGATTTCGATCAAAGCCAACGTTGAAAAGATAGCTATGCA